TTGAGCTGAGTGTGGTAGCTCATGCTTACAGTTGAGTGCCTTAGAAGGCTGAGGCCAAAAGATCGTGAGTTCAAGGCCATCACAGCTAATATTTTATGAGATTCAATTTTTTTTATATATATATATTTTTGAGACAAGGTTTCTCCGTAGCTTTTGGTTCCTGTCCTGGAGCTAGCTCTTGTAGACCAGGCTGGCCTCGAACTCACAGAGATCCGCCTGCCTCTGCCTCCCGAGTGCTGGGATTAAAGGCGTGCGCCACCACTGCCCGGCCACAGCTAATATTTTAATTTAAGACCCTGTTTTTAAATAAAGGCAAATTAGCCAGGCCTAGCAGTGTAGGACCTGTAATCCTAGTGACTTGGGAGGTTGAGGTTGGAAGAGTGTTAAGTTAAAGGCCAGCCTGGATGAACTGAAAATGAAAGGAAGGCGGGAGATGTAGTTCGGAGATAGGGCACTTGCCTAGCACGCACACCTTGCGTTATAGTCTCAGTACTGCCCCCATCCCAAATAAAATTTTGACTGAAACCTTTTAATGAATACATGTAAAAGGACCTATGGTCTAAAACCAGAGACATGGATTCCTAAATTATAGATGGTTCCGATCAGGAAACACGCTCAGTCGTTTCAGATTGTGTCAGAAAGGAACAGCAAATAGCTTTAGAAAACATTTATAATAATGTATCAGGTTAGAAGGAAAAGTTGGCAACCCCCACCCATAATCCTAGTTCTTAGGGAGGCAGAGGCAAGAAACCATGTTTGCAGCCCCTAATAGCAAGTTTGAAGCTAACCTGGGCTACAGGAGACCCTTCTTCAAAACAAAACAAAACAAAACAAAACAAAAAAAAAAACCGTGTAGGGGCTGGAGAGATGGCTCAGCAGTTAAGAGCGCTGGCTGCTCCTCTAAAGGACCAACCTGGGTTTGATTTCCAGCACTCTCATGGCAGCTCACAACCATCTGTAACTCCAGTTTCAGGGCATCCAACACTTTCTTCTGGCCTCCTTGGGTACCTGCATGCAAATGGTGCATAGATATACATGCCGGCAAAACACCCATGCGCATAGAATAAAACAAAATATTAACCAAAAAAGGAAGTAAAGAAGCCAAGTGGTAGTGGCACGTGCTTTTAATCCCAGCACGCTGAAGGCAGAGGCAGGCAGATCTCTCTGAGTTCAAGGCCAGCCTGGTCTGCAAAGTGAGTTCCAGGACAGCCAGGGCTGCTAGAGAAAAGTTGTATACACCTGTAGTTCCAACTATTTGAAAGACTAAGGCAGAAAAATAGCTTATGCCCAGTAGTTCAAGACCAGCATTGGCAACATAGTACAACTACTTCTAAAAAAAAAAAAAGTTTATGAAACAGTATGTTGGGCTGGTGAAATGGCTTAGGGGGTGAAGATGCTTGCTGCCAAGCCTGATGTCCTTAGAACCCACACGGTGGAAGGAAAGACCCAACTCCCACAAGTTGTCTTTTTGTTCCAAATGTTTAACAATAGACATGCATTTCTTTTCTTTCTTTCTTTTTTTTTTCTTTTTTTTGTTTGTTTGTTTGTTTTTCGAGACAGGGTTTCTCTGTCGCTTTGGAGCCTGTCCTGGAACTAGCTCTTGTAGACCAGTCTGGACCCGAACTCAAAGAGATCCTCCTACCTCTGCCTCCTGAGTGCTGGGATTAAAGGTGTGCGCCACCACCGCCCAGCTCCATTTCTTTTCTAATTAGGAAAAATATTTATAATTTAAAATACAAGATATAGATGTTGTCGGGAAGCTATCTAACATACTTTACCCGAGGCTCTGTGCTACCCTAAGAATGACATACTGGCCAAAATAATATGATTTTCTTGCTTTGGTAACACTGTTCCAGGTTGGAGGCTGGGTGTGGTGGCCCATGCCAGTAATCCCAGCCAGGATTTTGGGAGACAGGGTAGCAAGACCGAAAGATCATGGGAGACCTTGTCTCAAAAGAACAAATCAGAACAAGAATGCTCCAGACAGGTGGGCAGGAGGGATAGTTCAGAGGCTGCCATTGATCCTGCACAGGGCAAACAGGTGAACTGCCCTTCTGTCCCTATCCTGAGTCTAGGGTAAGGAGATCAAGGCTGGGTGGGACACTCATCTCAAGCCCTTATTATGTTGGCCTCTGTCTTGGTTGAGGGTTAAGGCGCTTGGGTAAAGAAAGACAAAAGAAAAGGGCCAGCCACCTTGTGGTCTGCTTTTGGGGGTGTTCCCTAGCTCTCCTGGGGAGGTTCTGCCCAGGACTGCTTGTGATGCTGGGAATTTTCCCTAAGGGCTGCATAGCTGTGTGTGCCTGAGTTCATGCTTGGAGCTTCCCAGCCTGATCGTGCCTGGAGGAGGACTGGCGCTTGGCCTCCCGCTGCCCTGCTGATCCCTCTGATCTCTTTCTTCTCCACTTGTCCAGACTGGACTAGAATCCCCTGTGGGTGTGATTCCCTCTTGCTACATAGGCAGGTGTCATCTTTTGAGTCCCTTCTCCATGGGTCCATGGATGTCTTTCCAACAAGTATGCTTTGCTGCCTAAACACACGCATTTGGGAACCGCGTGCTTTCTCGAAGTGCGGCATTCTTTCCGGGCAGCTGTGCAGCGACCACAGTTACCTTTCCCGCTCACCTGGGTGTGTTTGTGCATACATGGCCGTGTCACATTTCCTTTGTCTCCTATGCCCCTCACTTGTCCCTCCTCTCACCCTTCCCAGAAAGTCTAGAATGGCAAGAAAAATCTTTTGGTATGCTAAGAATTTGGAAGGAAACTTGACTGGCCTTGTACCATAAAACTTACAGATTTGTTAGTGTTCTTTTTCAGTCCTTTCCTTACCAATATTCTGAAAGCATTTCTGATGTATAATGTGCATACCATTCATGTCACGTAGCGTGTTGTGCACATTGAGTTTTAGTGATTTCACAGAGGTGTGTAAACATCACCTCCTCTTACGACAACACCCAGCCTCTTTGTTCTTTCTAGGCTGGATCTTGCGAGGTAGTTCTAACTGGTCTGAAATTAACTATGCCGATCAGGCCGCCCTCACACTTGTAGTGATCCACCTGCCTCTGCCTATCTTGGAGCATAGACATTTTCAATTTTTTTTGATAATATTCATTACTTTTTATTTAATTGTTAGGAAAACCAGACAGATATAATGAGAAACAAGCGTAGCATCCCAGCTACCCCCATTTTAGTAGCAAGGAATGGGCTTGCAGTGGCCTTTCGTCTTGATAGGGTCTTTCTGTGAGCCTCAGCTGGTCCATAACTTTGAGATGCTCTTTCCTTAACCATCTGAGTGCTGGGATTCTGGGTGTGGGCCTCTGTGCTCGTCACACTGATAAAATAATCCCAGGCAATGAGGAAATGCCCACACACGGGGGCTGCATTGAGTGAGCTAGGTGGACATAACTCAGGAGAACGTCCCGAGCACCAATGGCACTGTTTCATGTCATGGTACAGGCTCCTGAGAGGGGAGAGCAGCTGTGGGGAGGGTGTGCTTTGTCCAGTGTGTTGGATCCCATCCAAGGCTGTGTTGTGGTAACTTTAATTTTTTTTTAATTCATTTAATTCTGTGGAGGCAGAGAGTCACTCTTGGAGCTGAGAAGATGACTTGGGTATTGATTCTCTGGTGCCTTGTGGATCTTGGGATCAAACTCAGACTGTCAGACTTGATGGGTGGCAAACACCTTTACTCCCTGCACTGTATCTCAGTGCCCAATATGTTGTACCTTTTTTTCCCCAGATATTTTATTTTATGTGTATGGGCGTGTTGTCTGTCTGTACATATGTATGTGTACATGTGTGCGGTACACCGAGGTCAGAAGAAGGCATTGGAGTTAAGGATGACTGTGAGCCACCCTATCAGTGCTGGGAATCAAACCCAAGTCCTTTGCAAGAGCAAGTGCTTTTAACTGCTGAGCCACGGCTCTAGGCCATGGCGTGGTGTCTTATCAGGCTTTGGAGTCACGGGGTTCTGCCTTGAAATCATTTCAGATGGGCCTGCTCTTGCTCTGCGCCCATGCTCAAAGTGCTCACGGCAAAAACCTGAGTCTTCCTAATCTTAGCTTTCTGGAGGTACCTGCCAGGTGACTCCCAGTTGGAGAGAATCCTCTCCTTACACTAAAAACCTCAGGCAGGAACTGGGGAGCCACCTGTCTTGTTAGGATTGTGATTGGCGCCTTCCAGAAACATACTTTCAAAACCGAAAGCAGCTTTTGCTGACATCTGGTCCTTTCTGGGACTCTGATATTTTTATTTATAAAATGACACTCATTTCCCCAAATAGAGTCTTATTTTTAACGGGCTTCTTCCCTTTGAGGGGTGCCTAAGGCTCACAGCTTTTCTCTCTGATATCTCCTTCAAATATGGTAACTATGGTAAGGTAAATATGGTAAGGTCTGTGTCGAGCGTGGTGGGGGAGTGTGCAGACAGTTAATGCCTTGTCTTTTCTGCTTCCTTACCTCTGCCCCTTCTCCGTCTCTGTCCGGGAAGGGAAAACTTGCAATTAGTGGCAATTGCCTAGTCTGCTATGCTGTGAATTCCACAGAGGGATAGCAGGTGAGACGTGAGGCCTGGCCATTGCTAGCTGCTCTCTTCCCTCCTCCCTCAGGCCAGTCCAGCTCAGCCCAAGACAGCAGTGATTGCAGCCTAACACAAAGTCATAAGCTTGCTCAAAACGAGACCTTCTTGCCATTCTTGTAAGCTCAATTGCGTAGCTCTCTGGTATGAATTTTGCAGATGACAGTGTTGTCACAATGTCAAAGATGAGACACGCCTGTGACCTAAGCGTTTCTTTCCTCCATTCATCCCCTCAGCTTCCCAATATGTTCGGTGACCTTCGATCAACGTTTATTGCCTTGATGATCGGATCCTACGCTTCCTCAGCAGTTACTTTCCCAGGAATCAAGGTGAGGGTGTGGCCAGCGTACCCCCACCCCAACTCATGCTTTATCCTAGCATCTGGGCAGAGCCCCCCCCCCCCCCCCCCCCCCCCCCCCCCCCC